AAATGTTTTGGTCTTGGGGAAAGCCTCACCCCCCCAGGTCGAGAAAATTCCAATCCCTTCTGTGAGGGGAGTTTAGATAACTTCTGTAACTGCACATTATCAAAACCAGGTTTTTAAATGAAAAACACAAAATTACCGTAGGTTCATTCCTCCACAAAAATAGTATTCTTTTGTTTGTTAAGTCACCATTAAGATAAACCCTGCAAGAAAATAAACTTGAAATAAAGATCACTATGAACTGACACTTGGAGACCTAGGTAAGAGGCCACATTAGGTGGATTTTCACCCTATCTTAAGGCAAATAAAGTAATTGTCTCAGGAGTTTCATTAATGTTTTCAGCAGGACCTGGTTTTCACAGACGGGCAAAACTATTTGAACTGAACTTCTAATCTCAGGGCGGGGGGCTCCCATATACAAGGGATGGGGTGCTCATTGTACTTTTTAGCGGTTTAAAAAAGCGGTTTTGGTACTCTTAGGGCATTCAGCTCAAAAGGTGTAAAGCAGGAGCTTTTATGGTACCTTAATTTAGGCAATTGAGCTAAAAAAAAATATAACAGGAGATAAATGTGTTGTTTCAGAATTGGTCCCTCTTAGGGGTGAGAAAAGTTTCAAGCTACACCCACAAAGCAGGATCGTGGTACCTCTTAGGGTTTCTTTTCAAAATTTCTGACAAGCACCCAGCTGTTCTTTTTTATGGAAGTCCCTATGGGCTTCTAATATAAGATTCCTCTAGATGGGAAACTAGGTAGGCAAAATCGTCCTCACAACCAGTCAATTTGCCTGGGACCTGGCCCTTAATGAAACCCGTGCCGTCTACTCAGGCTTATGTATCAATACAAGGCTCTTTCAGTCTTGTGTAGCCACCTGTCATATATTACAAGTTATCTGAGCAAAAAACTTCCGAGAACCCTGGAAAATGACATTTTCTTTCAAGTCTAGGCAGTTTAAAACATGGTTCTAGTCGTAATTAAAGGTTTTGCAGATGAATGCATTACATTGCAGTTGACTTCCAATGTTTGTTTCTATATCACTGTGATTGTCTGTAATTACATGGAAACTGGACTAATAAAGATTAAGAAGAAATTTACTACAAAACACTCTTTTAAAACTGCAACCAGTCATATGAGAGCACTCATGGTGTCTAGTTTCGTATTGATTTATGCCAAAGTTTGATCACTGGGTCTCTACTTGGTTCCGCACATTTTGTTCAGTTATCATGGAGAGTGTTAGGTTTTATTTACAATGTGGACACTGTTTGCATATATCATATTTTCAGTTTATTATATTTAGCAATTTAAAGTGTTTTAAAATATTTTAAAACAAAATTCAAAACTCACTTACCAGTCTTCAAATGCTAAGTTTTCAAAAGGATTGTGTGATAATGACCTATACACTGAAATCTAATCACAAAAAACTAATGTAATACCAATAAATTGTTGTGGCTGTCCGATCAGTACAAAATGTTCTCATTCAACATGAAAACATGAAAACATGCTGCTCCAAATATCTCATTACTAAGTTACCAAGTGCTTGGTTGTAAAATACATAACTCTCCCTCCCTCCTTGCCCACCCCTCCCCCTCATTCCCCCTCCCCAACTCAACAAGCCACAAGATTTCACCCACTCCAGGTGAATAATAGCCATTTGGAAATGTAAAAAAAATTAATTAAATGACTGAAGACCATTCCAAACAACACACTTCAAATAAGATTCAGTGCGAAACGGTCTCCCTACCCCACCCCACTAGTCAATGATGTGCGGAGTGTACACCCAAGGGGGAGGGTACTCCCTATAATGGCCTATAAGGGGAGGCTCTGCCCGAAAGAGGTACAGTTTTCAGGCTTCAGGTATATAAAAGGGTAAGGATTCCGCAAGTTGAGGTTTATGACAGGGTAAGGAAATCTGTCATTTGGTTAATTTAAAGGGCCTTTTAACTTGAACATTTCGAACAGACACACCTTATGACTATATCATTTCATTTATTAGGTACTACATAAAAATGACAGGAAGACATCCTTTTTTGGCAATTTATTCTCAATACCAGACAGTTATGAAAGTATGTGAAGGGAGATTTGTTTCAATGAAATTTATACAAGAGGGGGAACCTCTTCTGTCAAAATACTATACAAAAGGGTAAGGGGTAGGACCCTGGGGCGAAACCTCCCCGTATAGAACTTTGTAGCGTACCCCTCCCTCCCCCCACCCACTCTAGGGGGTGTACGTATTCATACGAAAATAAGGATCTCATTTATGGTGCTAGGCGGTATGGAAAAAAGTTTCGTGAAAGTAAAAAGACCAATGAAGAACAAATATTTACCCCAACCTTGGAAATAAGTTAGCAAGGTCAAAGAATTCACAAACAACTGACCTCACCTGTCCACTGGGAGAATGTGCGACATTTCAAATACGCAAATTTGTAAAAATCCGCTTTGCGAGGAATCAAACGCATTCTCTGAAAGAACGATGTTTTTTACAGCTAAACTAACGTTGCCGGTTTGCAAATGTACCTCCATTTCCGAGCTCTAATCGCATGCACGCTGTCCGCCATTTTGGGAAAATTTCGATTTCACGCCTGCGTACTGGCGTGTTGTGCTCCAGGGCTCGACGGCCTCGTACGAGTTGGGAGTGACTACAGGAACGCCATACAAGCGGGAAAGCTCTGCGTCTGTTTGTATGTTCGATAAGGAACTGTATGGGAATATTAAAGAGTCTTTAAAATATCGTAGACTTATATCGAGTAACATCTATGTTAAAGCTCAAAATAAACGTAAACCTATCTTAGTTGTTGTGTATTGTCGTTTCTGCGGCTCAAAATGGCGAATTTGAGCGATTTGGTGGGTTTTGCGCTGACTGTTCGACTGTTACTGATAACAGTCATTTATAACGTGTAGTAACAGTCAACGCAAAACCCACCAAATCGCTCAGACACCGAATACATTCGGAAACAGAAATGTCATACGCTATAATCTAAGAATATCCACAAGAATATTTTCAGCCTAAAATCGGCAGAAAAATAAGAATATTCAGCCTGTGCCGAAAAAAACCCCAATATTCTTATTAAAAAAAGAGTGTAAGTTTGGTTGATAATTATCCAAAAATAGAATGTTTCGGGGACAGAATTAGGAGAACGCATTTACGTTAAACAGATCGGTAGCTTTGGACGAAATTCCGACAGCGACATGCAAACCTTCCGAAATTGCGACGTGAAAAGGTTTGAAATTCAGACGGGGAACATAAGGAACCCCTCTAACAGAGCCTCACTCTCCGGGGGAGGATACTTCCAGAAAGTTGGGTGGGAATGTGCGGCTCACTTCCCAAAACCCTTACCCTATTTATTACCAAAATCTGCGTTTTTTGCTACCCTATTAATGACCTGACCAAAAATTCGATAGCCTATTTATGACCGTTGCGGCTGACACAGTTGCTCCAAACATAAGTTATGAAGGGCTTTTGTTTGCGGGCTTATTAATAATGATAAAAAAGTAGCTTCTTCTAAGAAAAATACCCAATTCAAGACTAGAGTGCTAACACCATACCCTATTTATAACCAAAATGGTCAAAATCGATACCGTATTTATGACCAAAACGGCTGAAAAACCCTACCCTTTGGAGTCACACATACCCAGCCCATATAAGGGAGCACCCCCTCCCCGGGCCTCACTCCTACAGTTCGTGACAGTTGCACTTTTTCCGTTTTCAGGTTTTGAATTTCGGTCTCTCAACCTTTTTTTGCTTTAAACTTGTTCAGTAAAGGGCATGTTATGCTGTGTTATTAGGAGAACTTTTAAGCGGAGTAAAGCCGTTTGACCGTTTGACCATTTGCCATACATTTAGGTCTGCAGGTTTTCCGTATTTATCTGTCGCTTTGTATTTTTTTTAACACCTCTATAAATTTTTCGCAATCGTTTGCGGGCTCCGCGGGAGTATTGGCAATAACCAATTAGAATTGAGAAAGATTTCGAAAGGGACTTCCGGTGTTCGTTTTCTTCGTCGGGGGTCTAGAACAAGGATTTGTGCGCAGGCCCTCGGGGGTACTTCCTTATATGGGCTATATATGTAGGTATCAAACATTTAAAAAAGTTGACACACCGTTTAAATTTGTAAGACATGTTTCGGATACTCAGTATCCATCTTCAGTTTATGGATGTTTACAAGTGAGTGACTTTATATAAAGTAGGTAACAAGTAGGTGTAAATTACAAATGTAGAATAATAGTACAAATCAGGGAAAAAGTTACATAATACTTGAGGGATACAAAAAAGGTGCGAGTACAAATCTGTGAAAAACACTGAATACAAATAGTAATTAAAGTAGGAGTGTTAAATTAACATGTTTGAGTTGTTTATTCAACGCGGGTCTTATCCATTCAATATGAAGGGCTTCTTTGATCTTAAGTTGGAAATTTGTAAGAGCCGAGTCTAAGATGGAAAAACAATTAAAAGAGCGTAGATTCTTACACGACTCAGAACCCTGAAGATGTTTACAGATATGGGAATTGCGATCCGAGAGTAAGTGCTCACGAACCGTGGTGCCAAAATGTCTAGTGGTTTCACTGACATAACAGGTGTGACATCCTGCACATGTAAATTTGTAAACCACCTGGGAACGAAGCCCACTGGGGATCGAGTCCCTCGAGTACTCCCAGAAAAATTGGGTGGGGGTGTGCGGCCCGCTTCCCAAAACCCTTACCCTATTTATGACCAAAATCTGCGATATTCCCTACCCTATTTATGACCTGACCAAAACTTCGAAGCCCTATTTATGACCTGACCCTTAAATCAAAACCCTGTTTCAGACCTGTGTTATAATTAGTTCCCTAGTTCAGACCAATGTTAAATTGCCGTAAACATAATTCATGAAGGGCTTTTGTTGATTTTCTTTTCGATAATGACGAAAAAAGTGGCTTTTTCTTAAAAACATACCCATATCAAGGCTAGAGTGCAAAAACCATACCCTATTTATGACCAAAATGGCCAAAACCAGCTAAAATCGATACCCCATTTATGACCAAAACAGCTGAAAAACCCTACCCTTTGGGGCTGCACATACCTATATAGCCTATATCAGGGAGTACCCCCCGGGTGTTTTTGCTAGTGATTTGGCTGGTTTTCAATTGACCAGGTGTTTACAGACTTGTACGTGAGCCACCGCAAACCGACAACCAGCCTTTTAACCAATCACATCACTGCCGTAACAATACCCATGCAGTATTATAATCTCATGGGCAAGAAACAAAAGAAGTTATTCCCTTTCCACCGTTCTTGTAAAAGGGATATGTCTAGGGTAGCGAAGTTAGCGCAGGAAAAAAACCAGCATTCTCAACAAGTACAGGACAGCGAAGACTCTGAAAGCAAGCGATGCGACCGCAATCTACTGGAAAAGAAACGTCGTGATAAATTCAACGGCCTTATCGACGAGCTTGCGTCCTGTTTGGCGGATCGATGTCATACAAAGAGAAGTACAGAGAAGAGCTCCATTCTGAAACTTACCAGTGAATATTTTCTTGAGCAGGAAAAATTGGCGGCTGAAAAGGCCGCCAATGAATTGATCAGAAATGTGAAACCTCCTTTCGTTTCGGATGACGAGTTCGATTTTGTTTACCTGGAATCGATGGACATGGTGGTGTTCGCTTTAGATCAAACAGGGAAGGTTGTTTATATTTCAGACAATGCACTGTCTACTTTAGGATATATACCGGTACACATCTTACAACGTGACGTGTTTGAATTTATTGATGCACGGAACCAATTTACTTTCCAGGGAATGCTTTCCGTTTTGAAAGACAGCTCAGACATTTGTCCCTCTGGTGAAAGTAACATAACACGTTTTGAACCGTTTTGGTGTCAGTTTCGACGAGGTCCGTTCGGTCAAGGGGACGGTTTTGAAACAATTTGCTGCTTTGGAGCAATAGTAAGAAATTTATTGAGCAGGGAAAATGATGAAAATTTCGAAGAAGTTTCCGAATCCCTCATTATCCTAGCGAGGCCTTTGAACGTTCCAGTTGAAAAAACACTCCTCAAAGCTGATGGCCGACAAACGAAATTTACATCAACATTGAATATGGAAGCGAAATACGATTACCTGGACAAGCGCGTCGCCGCCGTCCTCGGCTTTTTCCCTTCGGAACTAAGTGGAAGTTCTTTGTATGAATTCTGCCACGTCGACGACCTGGACGATTTGGTCAAATACCATAAAGTTTTGCTTTTAACGGGAAGAATAACAACAAGTTATTACCGTCATATGACAAAAGGACAATCGTGGGTTTGGCTTCGGTCTCGCTATCATTTGTCTTACAGCGATTGGACTTCCAAGCCCCAGGCGGTAACCTGTCTAACTTGGGTGGTTCCTTTCCGTGAAGTTTGCGCAAAACAAGCAGAGGTCCTGTCGCGTGACAAAGAGAGCTTCGCGCAGATTTTAAATGGTACAAACGGCATAGATGGAAAGTCGGCTTCTTCACAGAGCTCGATGAATTTGCCAGCGGTTGCTTCCCCGTGTTCGGAAAACGGAGCTGGAGAAATGATTCAAGCCCAGTTGAGATCTAAAAGAACCAGCGCTCAAGAATCAACTCGAAGCACGACGTCGGAATCATCGGTGGCTCGGACTCCTGGACCGGAGGAAACCCAGAGCAATTGCGCATTGTTGATTCCGAGCTCAACTGATATGGATGATAACCAGCCCATTGATTTTCAAGAAAGCTTCCAGTTTTTAAGGAGCCTTGATTTGCCAATGGACCTAACAGGTGCTCAACAATCTCTTCACCGATTTCTGTTGGAAACATACGTGCAAGTAATAAACTCTTTTAACAAACAGGTGGAAGAACTCAGCGCAATTCAAAAGCAAATCAAGATTCAAGGAGAGATTCGCGACCTGGTAGAGCGACTCGAGAAGGAAAGATCTTCAAATGACGTCGGGAGTGAATATACCACGACCAAAGAGATGCTTTTAAAATTTGAAGAAATGCGTCGAGTTTGTTTGGGTACAGAAGCTGTGAAACCCGCCTCCGAAAGTGCCGCCATTTGCTCCCAGCGACTTCAAGAGATTGTCGTTCAAAATCGTCCTGAAGAGCTTGAAAGCTCTATCACCTCAGAAACAAATCAACAGATGACAAAAGAAATAGTTGAACAAAACCATTCACCGATGCAAGTGGAAGAGTCCAACTCCACACAAACGCGACCAGACATTTTCTTCAATCAAGAGCGCTGGCTTCAAACGCAAGCACAACAAGCTCAAATTCAACAGCAAGCCCTTCTTGACAATCGTTTTCAAGAGCTCGAATACGCCGTCACTTCGGAAGAAAATCAACATATGACCAACGAAGTAGAGGGGCCGAGAAAATCACCCATGCAACTGGCAGAACCCAAGTCCACACCAACTCAACCGAACATTTTCTTCAACCAAGAAGGCTGGCTTCAGACGCAAGCCCGACAAGCTCACCCAGAACCAGATATTTCCTTTAACCAAGAGCGCCAGTGGTTTCAAACACAAACGCAACAAGTTCAACTACAACGGCAGGCTTTCCTTGCGCAACAAATGATCAACCCGCAATATCTACCGCAGGAACAGCTGATGCTGTTTCAGCAGCCTCACTTGCTAGTTCAGCAATTGCATCAAAAGCAATTGGAGGTAGAAGCTCCTCAGACATTACAACAACAACAGCTCGAACATTGTCCCAGCTCAACAGCTGGCAGCGTTTCGCTGCTAATAAATTCTCCGAACGCTGTCTCGCAACAGGGAACATCATCCGTTCATAGTAGCATGACAAGCGAACTCTCGTTGACAAGCATTGCACAGCAGGATTCTCCTCACAGTCCGAATGATTGTTTGTACGACTATCAATGGTTTTAACAACACTGTTCTGAACATTCCAAACACTCTTATCCATAATGCCTACATAGAAAATCTCCTTGCTGATCTCACCGTATTTTGCTGTTCTAGTTGAGAGAATTCGCTTCTATATCAATACATTTCTCTTGGAGATCCGCTCCTAAATTCCCTTTCCCACTTTTAGTCTTTACGGTGTAAGATGTAACTTTTCGAAGTATTGTAATTCTGACGTGTAATGAATTTGAAAAATGTTACGCGAAAATTGATAACTATTGAAAACGTGACAGACCAGTTTCGATATATTAAATTCTACCTTGGTTTTCGGAGGCTTGAGGGATTGAAACAAAAGAAATTATTTAGTTGTCCCACGATCCCGATGTCTTTCTTTTGTTTTAATCCTCCAAGCCACGGTACCAATTTCAATGGTTTTCTACGTCATGGACAACAACCGTATGACCCGGGGGAAGAAAAGAAGAGACGGGGGATGGGGGAGAGTGGGGGTGAAAATGGCGGTCCTGGTGCTGGATACCGGAGGGGTAATCCCCGCTGATGTACCAGTTGAGTTCATCAATTGTGTCCAGTAAATCATGCCAGAAGGGTGCATTTCGCGCTGCTGTTGACTTCAATTTCTATCCCCGTAAAAATAAAATAACCACGAAGCGCACACTAAGATAAACTACTCACATTTTATGAAAGCGCATTTCCAGATAAATAAAGTTTCACACATTGAAATGAAATGTGATTACAACAAAAAGCAAAATAACAACATACCTCTGCTCAAAAACTACTCGTGATATCTATTTTTCTTTCATTTTAACTTAAGTCCACGACACCTGTAACATTTACCCCGCATTTTACTGGGACAACCAAGGAAATTAAAATGGAAAACATAGCCTTTCTCCGATTTCGAGTGTTTAAAAAACACTATCATTATTGTATTCCTTAAGTCCACCTTTGGAAAAAAGGAAATCCACAAAAACGTTCCGAAATTGTCTCGATAAATGCGAATTGCATTGTGTAACGTTGTTTACCAACGATATTTATTACATCTGCTTTGAGCAAAGACAGAAACTTTAAGGGGCCTGTTACACTTATCTGCGCATGTGTACAATTTTTAATTTGTAATTTGTGGATGGTTCTCGCAGCATGTTTTGCATTGTGTGTGAAGGTCGTGAGGAAATTTGATGTCCTCAAAAGGAGGTATATGAAGTTGCTCCTTGCATGTAAAGGCTCAAAGGCGAGTCAGTGGGGTTTTCCAAAGACAAATTAAAGTTGATTTCACAACCGCACGAAAAAGAAAAAAAGAAAAAAGCAAAACATCCCGGATGGCGCGTGGTACTGACTGCAGTGTCAAACTACATGCGCATTTACACTGTAAAACAGACCCTTTAAACCGAACATACCTTTGACAGAATTAAATAATTGATAGTCGACTGGGGTTAAAATATATGAAAAATACGTTTTTTGTATATTTATATAGAGTACACGCAAAATTGATTTCCATATGTTCGCTGGCGTCCTTAACATTAGTCCATGAAATGCAACCCCTACCACTCAGTGTACATCGGTTTTTTGAGTTCTTAAACCGACGCCAACGGTCATAAAGAAATCGTTCTTTCCAGTCATACGTTTTTTAGGCCCCGTCTAAACTGCGCCGGGAGGAATTTGAAAACGCAGCTTTATTTCTACGGTAAGGCCTGCCGTTCACACTAATCCAGAACGAAAACGGAGCGTTTCGAAAACGCTCTTTAAACCGGAGGATTTGAAAACGCCGGCTTTGCGTTTTAGTATGGTGTGGAAGGAAAACATTTTGAAAACGGAGGTTTTCGAAAAAGATGACGTCTTGTTAATCATGTGATTAACCCTAACCCTCATGAGCATACTCAAGCTTTTCTGCCTCCGGTGATTGTTGGGTTGTCATATTTCTCCGGCGTAGTGTGGATGGGGCCTTACTTAGCGACAAGATTGTGTTGAAACTCCCGCAGCAAAGTACGGACTTGTTGCATCCCTCGCTGTGCAAACAAGGTTCGCGGCCTAAGACTCGAAGTGCTCTAAGACTAGTTTTGTTCCAATGGAATTGCTTTGTTCAGTATAAAAAGGTCTAATTGTTGCCTGCATTTCTTCGTCTTTAATCGACTATTTCGCTCCAGGGAGACGGAGTACGACCATACTGAAAGAAAATATACAAAAAA